AAGGAATCAATAGGGAACCCATATCTACGCATTGTGACACCAAGCAAACTCACATAATCTTTGATCAATAACAAATGATTAGCAGTGTACATCCTAGAAAACTGGTCCTCTAACACTGAACACATTTTACTCACAGCAGTGTCCCACAGATTTTCCACCTCCATTTTCGATATCAACCCTCCTCCAGTCCTGAGTACCCGGTCCTCCACTATAAAAAACCCAGCAATTTGTGCAAAAAAAGTCTGATGCGACTCCAGAAAGGGGGTCATTGAAGATACCTGAAAATCCGAAGTTAATTGAAGCTTTCGGTTCTCAAAATAATATTTCTGGAACCTACCCTCGAGACCAAGAGTCTGATGTACATGATAAGCCCTATATAAAGGTATCAAATCAAAGCCGTCCTCGCCGGATTCTTCCATTCCACCATTTACATCATCATCTTCTTCAAGAGCATATACGCAGTCTCTTAAGCTTAGTCTGCTCTGCTCCTCGGCTTGGCGCTGCTTGATTCTCAGTTCCTCTTCCCTCTGGCGTGCAGCGGAGGCTTGCCCAATGGCTAGCTGACCCAAGTTCCGACTCACTACACGGATCTCCACCAGCCAATCCCCAAATTCCTTGCTGACCTTTCTCTCTATGTGAGTCCGGATCGCAGGGATCTGCTTCTCCATCATTCTCCTCAAACTAGACGACGGCGTTTTGTCCAGAAAATCCCTCTCAATTGAGTCCAGACACTTCAAGGCCATGTAGAAATTGCTTTTACTTAGGTGAAAATTCGCTCGCGAGCAAAGTTCCATCAACTGAACACAAATGTTAAGGGATCGTATAGCGAGAGCGATGTTTCTGCACTTACTTCTGGCTTCGACAAATGAATCAAGCGAAGTCAAAAGAGGAACAGCGACGGATTGGAGCTTGGCGTTAGAGTCATAAAGGGAGGACTTAAGAGAATCAACGTCGGAGAGGAGAGATCGGAGGTCATCAACAGCCATAATGAAATCCTGATAGTGAGCCCGACAAACATCTTCAATCTCCGACTCCTTGTATCGACGGAAGTGCTCGAGGTGGCGGAGGAGCATCTCCGGCTTGCCGGAGGCGAAAGCTTTGCGGATAAAGGGACCGAGGTCCTCACCGTTACAGATGGCAGCCGAGAGAAGAAGCTGATCCTGCTTGTCCCCAGTATCTCCATTCTCCGGCGCTGGAACCACCTTCCTGCGCATCTTCGTTGAGTTCATGTCTACGATTTTGATTACTATCAAGAAAAGTCAGTATTTGTTGGTGCTTTTCTGACAGTTACGCTTAAGCTACGGAGGGAATTTAGAGGAGAAAGAGTGTTTGGCTAATCCCAAAAATAAGTAATTATCTATATAATATAATGAAAATTAAAAACTAACCTTTAATTTACCTTTAAGCTTAGCCAACACGTGTGACGGCGGGATATTCTTTGACTAAAACGCCCCGAACGGAAGACACGTCGATATAAAGCACACAATTGAGACTCAGAGTCATAAGATAAGTGTTACCTCGATAGCCATTATATGCTAATGGACGTGTTACAAAAGCAAGAAGGCTTCTTTCAAAGTAAATGGAGTAAAATTCCTCAAGCAAAAGGTAGAAGTCAGCCCAGATCAAATCTTTAACCATTTGAAAATTGAAGATACAAATTTTATAGTAATGTCAAGCCAGCAATTCTTTCAAATATGAGGTCTTCTCTCCATGGAGAGGTATAAGCGAGCAAAATTGCTACCGAGGTAGCTAGGAGAACGAAGAAAAATTTATAAAGTATGATTTACCGCTGCACCCAATTAGCAGCTAAAGCAACAAAGAAAGCAAGCTCCGGCTAAATTATGCTATATCTACATTAACTTTGACATTGTTGTGATGTAATATTTTTTTTACACGCTAATCTCCACAAAACTTTAAACAATCAATGGTATAGAATTTGACGACATTTGGAGTGTCATCATTAATGTACACAAATGATGTACAACTAATTTAATCCCAATTCTACTCAAGATGACGCGACAACAAAATGACCCCTATTTGGGCCCCATTTTGTGGAAAATTAATGGATGAAATAATATTTTTTTTAAAATGAGTGGTTGAAAAAGAAAGAATTTTTTTTTATTTATGTGTAATATTATTTTATGAAAGATGGTTGAAAATAGAAAAGAAAAAAATGAAATGTAATGAAATGAATATTAATAAGGGCCAAACATGGGCAAAATAGGACAGAAACTGGAAATAAGAAAAATGATGAATACAAGTACTATTTTGGACCCATTATCTTGTTCAAAATGAACAATGGTAAAACATATTGGGTTAAGCCATTTGTACATAAAAAATGACATCATCTAAATTGACATGATTTGATTGGTGAGAAAACTATTTCTTTTTTTAAATTGTCCAATAACGTGTTCACCACGTGGCACAATGTAAAATGTAATGTACATATAGCATGATTGAAATATATTATTAGTAGCCAAAACGGGAGATTGTAGCTATGTTTCAATACCCAGAAATACTAAAAAGTTTGTAGTATTAACAGAAAATAGTCTCGTGAGTATTCCTGCTATATATTCATGAGTTCACCACTTCCACCATTTTCCATCCTATTTATGGTGACATAGCCTCGTCCATGCCTTCGCTTAGATTTTTCCGTTGATCCCTGCGATGAAAGAGTCGGCAAACACCAATTAATCTTGTCCCAATAGTTGGTAAAGGATTTGTTTTCACAACTATGGTCGAGAATCCAAGGATTGACACCTCTCTCCCTTCCCTGAGAGGGAAGGAACATAAAGAAAATGGAAAAACGGAAATCAATCAATAGCAACAAATTTTTTAGGCAAAAGAAAACGTGGTGGATGCAGAAGGAAATCGTGAGAAAATAAGAACACTAAATTAATCTCATTGATTCATGCAGAACACCACTTATTCCTACTTCCTTGGACGAGCTACTTGATTTCCCTACCCTCATAATGGAAGTGCATAAATTAAAAAAATATAAACAACCAAACTATTTAATCAAACTCGATAGCATAAATGCATCTCAATGTTCAGAACATGGTTCAAGGTACCTCAACAACACTTTCAAGGGTCGTTGCACAACCACTTGTGTTGACCATCACACTAAGCTGAAACTAAATGGCACGACGGATCTTATAATTGAGATTTAGTCTGCGCCACCTGATCCTGCATTCATTATCAATTTGAATATACATATCAGAAAAGTAAAAACACAGATGCAAACTTGAAACCATTAAAAGAAGAATATGGATCGTATTGAAGGTTTGAGATAGTGCATGCAAATGTCATACAATTAAAATAGGCTTGAGCTGCTTGGAATCAGTCAAGCCTCGACTACAACTTGTTGAAAATGCTGGCCAAATAGTTGAAACGAAGCAGGCCTTGATTCACTTTTAAGCTAGTGTAAATACATCAGAACATGCAGGCACATGTAGTTATGACATGTTTGATAAGGTGGACTGGACAGTTTGAATAGGACTAAGAATGAAAACGAAATAAAATCTCGTCTATCGTAGTGTCAGTACTACGTGCCAAACATGCCATCCGTATGTGCACCAAGTGTGGGATACAACTCCATATCATCCATTAAGCTTTTCGTAAAATTATACAAATTTCACCACACGTGCATTTTGGAAGGAGGCAATGGTAACATGACTTGCAAAGGAACCAGTTTGATGTTCCTTACCAGTAAGGTCCCATCGGAAGCACGCTCCAATAAATAGGCACAAGGCTTGAAAAAATCTCCATAATCCTTTGACCATTTATCCAATCTTGAATAAATATATGTGAAGCCTAAAGAATTGGACCAGAAAATGATTCCTCCTCTGCTTCAATTCATACAGCTTTAGCATCTCATCTGTGAACGCAACCATATGAATGAAGTCAGTCAAAATGCATACCTGTAAGCTGGAAACCCCATTCCCTTAACAGAAGCAACATCAAGATCTGACGTCCCAAATGCTATTCCCTCAGAAATGATACGGAAGGCTTCATTCAAAGCAGGAAAAAGGATCATCTCAACTATCTCACGGTCAGACAATGAAGTCAACTGTCACAAAAAATGCTATAATTTTTATTTATTCTTCTACTTTTCGGTTTTTTGGGGGAGGGGGGAGCCAACTCAGTCCTAGATTAGAAATCAATAGGAAATATTCACGCAAATTACCAAAGCCCTATGGAATTTGAAAATAAATAAATAAATAAATTATATATGCATTCATCAATGTGAAATCATATTTAGATTTGGGTAATTAGCACAAAACGTACCTACCTTTCGATGTTTTTGTGGAAAACGTCCCTACCTTTCGTTTTTTTTACGGATTACACCCACCTTTACCTTTTTTTGCGCAAAACGTCATTCTGTCAACTTCCTGTTAAAATGCTCCGTTAAATCAAAAGGTAATTAACACAAAAGGTCCCTACCTTTCAATATTATAGTGCAAAACGTTCCTATTTTTCATTTTTTGCATAATTAGCACAAAAGATCCCTACCTTTCAATTTTATTATGCAAAACGTCCCTACCTTTCATTTTTTAGCATTTTCATCCCTACTTTTCACCTTTCATTGCGAAAAAGGTCATTCTCATCCATTTTTTCAAAAAAAATAACGATTTTACCCTCCTATTCAAATAAAACAAAAAGAAAAGA